CTCCCTGAGAAGTCCCCAGCGGGAATTGGCATGCCCTTCAGACAGAGGCAAACTTTCTGCACCTCACTCCTGGGGTGGGGAGCGGAGGGGTCGCACTCCCTGTCACCCTGCTTCTTCCCAGATGACACTTTCGTGAAGGAGTTCTCCGCGATGTTGACTCGGGAAAAGGAAACGTTTCCGTGCAATGTCGCTGGGTTTCACGGAGGTGAGGGAAGATGGGCTCCGTCAGGGACCACAGCCCCTTCCGCCACCAGTCCCAGGGTCTCTGTCCCCAGCCCCCTGCTTCTCTACGTCCAGCCCCTCACCTCTCTCGACCGCGCCCTCCCTTGGACCCAGAGCTCCAGGCACCCGGGTCCTTCCTCCCTCCAACCCAAGAGCCCAACCCCCACCTATTCCTTGGCCCCCCTCTCTGGTGTCCTCTACCTTTGAAACCTGATAATAATTTCTTCCCTTTCTTCAGATGAAGATTCTTGTCCCAACAAATGTGGTGAGTCCAGATCATGGGAACTGGTTTTCTAACCTTCATCCTTGCCCCGTGAATACCCAGCCTTTCTCCTCTGGCTTTGGGTCTCAATGGTTCTTCCTTCCCCACGTCTGAGAGGTTCCTGGTCCCCAGTAGTCCTTCCCCACAGCGGACTTCCTGGACCGCGGGACCCATTCTTGGGGCGCTCTTTCCTGAGACTGGTTACACCCCTCTTCAGGGAGGACTGCCTTCTAGCCCCGCCCCTTGGGCTGAGCTCTAGGGATTAGACACCTGACCTTGCCCCAGCCCTTGGCCCTGCCCTCTTCGTGTAACCCCTTCTCTCAGGGTGCCGAATTACAACCTTGTTCATGCCCCTTCAGGTGTATTGTTGCGGCTTCTGAGGTGGTGCGATTCTTGCCTGCTGCACACGTACCCTTGTCCAAAGTCCACAGATTGCGGAGGTGAGAGGGCTGGCGCCAGCGGGAGGGGTTGGCGCAGGAGGGGCGGAGCCAGAGGAAAGGAGTCTTGACCGGGCGGAGACTCAAGCTGGCACCCTAGCAAACATGGGGGGCCCAGACCCAGTGGGAGGGAGTTGAGGTAGGACCGGAAACCATGAGGAAGCACCCCACGGTCACCCCCTGTCCCCAGTGCGCCAAATCAACGTCCATGAAAAGGAAGACTTGATCCTGAACTGTGGGCTCCACTGGCATAAAATGTCTACAGGCGGGTTCCATTACAGCTTTTACAGGGTGGGCCCTTCAACCCCGAGTCCGTTAGGTTTGTCTGAGCCCCCGACCCCTGTATCCACAGGCTTGTTCCCACAATCCCTGTGACCCATGACCTCCCGGGTTTGACTTCTATTGATCCCCAGGGGACCCCATGCCCTTAGCAGTATACCTGAACTCCCATCACCCCCCACTGAAGTCTCCTGAGGATCTCACCCCTGTACTACACCAGGCCTGAATTCCCCACACCTCTGTGACCCCTTGATCTTGGGTCTAGACTTCGGGGAGAAATTCTGAGACCTTGGTGTACAAGGGGAACTGGCTCACCCTGACCAAGCCCCTCGTGAGGCCAGAGGACGAAGGTAACTACCGCTGTGAGTTGGGCACCGCGGGAGTGAGCACACTCTAGGTCATCCGTTTTCAAGTCACAGGTCAGTGCTGGGGAGTTGACCGAAGTGTGGGATTAGGGTTGTGTGTTGGGGAGACAGTCAGCTTCAGGGCATGGCTTCAAGCCAGTGGGATGTGGCTTCCTGCCCTGGGTGTGGCCCCCAGCCACCTTGACCAGGCTTTCTGCAGTTAGGGTCTTGATTATCCCCTGGAAGTCCTGGGTGCTGGGGAAGTTTGGCACGGAGATAGCTTGCCTGGGCCATGACTGGCCTTTGGGACCCAATCAGGTATGCTCTTCCCCTCTCCTCTACCAGTGTTGACTCAAAGAATCATTGCGGAGACAACTTCCAAGTCATCAACCTTTGTGACCCAGCCATCAACCATTGGAACCCAGTCACCAGCCATTGGAACGCAGTCACCAGCCATTAGAACCGAGGCCGAGGAGGAAATCTGGGATGACCTTTCCCCGACCCTCGTGCCCTCAGAGTGTTCAAACCCAGAGGATGTGCAGACCGGCCGTCTGATAAGGGCTGCTTCTCTCGTGCTTTTTCCTGCTGATCATAGGATTTTTCACTGGGTGAGCCAACCACTGAAGAAGGCAGGGCTTGGGGTGAGGGGCGGGGTCCCCACCTTCCTAATGTGGGAGGGGTCTTCTGGGGTTTAGAAAACTGGGAGGGGCTCACCTACATGGGCGAAGCTTGGGTCACTGCTAGAAAAGGATCAAATATAGGGAGGGTGGGAGGGGTGTCCCTCAGTCAGGACCTAATCTGTTACCGCATTTTGCACCCTACCGTCCCCCAGCGTACTTTGCTTTCGGTCTGGGATGGTGATCGATCCCATAAAGTCCAGATTCCGCACCGACAAGGCAGCTGCTCCACAGGACCAGGTTTCACAGAGTTGGCTGTCACAGAACCAGCTGTCACATGACCAGCTGTCACAGAGCCCGCTTTCAGAAACCCAGGTTCCGAAAGCTGAGAAACTTCCGAAGGAATAGGCCACAGTGCCAAGGCGCAAATAAAGATTTATCTGGTTGTCTCTACATCAGGTTCATTTCCTCAGGTCTGATCCTCGGGTTTGGTTTCCCCAGAGGAGAGGTCTGGCTGGTCTCCTGTCCTAGAAAGAGACACCGGGAACCGTGTCCCTTCGTTGTCGCAGGGCCTCACTGGCTGGGAGGTAGTTCCAGAATTAAGAAGTGGGGAAGGACCAGTCCTACCGAATTCTCTCCACCCCCACCCAGGTCCGGTCCTCTCCAAGGAACCCTGTCCCCACGTTTACCATGGGTTTCCTCTTGCCTTTTCCTGCCCTGCAGCCAGTGCTGGGAGCTGGGGTAACGCCTGACAGGAACAGTGGGGTCAGGAAGCCACCAGGGCCAAGGGAGCCAGGGTTCCGGGGTGCTGTTGGGACCCGAGGCAGGGGAAGACCCAGGCATCCGGGGGTCCACACCCAAGAGCCCGTCTCCAGCAGTCTTCCATCCCAGCACCCATGAGCTGGGCTCCCAACCTTCTCCTCCACCCAGACTTACGAGTTCACCCCAGCCCCCAGCACGGCAACCCACCACTGAGGGCCTAGTCTGGGGGGACCAGATGAAGTTTCTCGTCTGAGAGGGGGCTGTCTGCTTTGTCCTGGAACCATAGGCGGAGCCTCCCTGTGTTGCCGTCCAATCAGACTCAGAGTTGGGTTTGTGGGCGGGGCCAAGAAAACTCCCGGGGAGCGTCGTCTCTAGGGAAGTCCCGCGGCGGCGCCCCGGGGCGGGCCAGGTAGTAACGTAGAAGTAGAAGGGGGAGGGTGTGGGAATTCCTTGTAGATCGGGGTGAAAGGTGACCCTGGCTCCGGTCATAAAGCCCTCCACATCACGTGACCAACGTCATCCTCTCCCCAACAACATCCTTATTTTCAGTCTTGGGAAATCGAGTGGAAGACGGTGGCCTGCTCGTCCCTTCCAAAAGCCCTCAGCCTGGTTTCGGCTGTTCCGCTACAACATTCAAGGTCAAGGTCGGGCAGCGGCTGTCTAGGGTGCCTCGGGACTCCGGACACCTCGGTTTCCTAACGGAGAAGTGGGAGCCCTGCAAATTGGGGCTCTTCGTCTCAGGGGTAGCTTCTTTCCCCTTAGCGATCACCTCCTCCGAGTGGGGTGGGAGGACCCTCCCCGGGGTTCTGTGCGGGGCTGAGCCCCCTGGCCTCAATGGGTCCCCAAGTAGCCCTCCTGGTGGCGGCGCTGGCCGGCTGCCTGCTTCGGGCCCGGAGCTGTGTCATTTGTGATCCAAGGGTCGTGGCCGCGCTGGACGCCTTGGAAAAGGAATACCTGCCTCCCCACCTCGCTCCCGGGCGTCACAGACAAGTGATGGAAAGGATAAGACAAACCGTGAGGAATTTCCGGGACCTGCCATATTTAGAGGATACCTTTATGGGGGTTATCGGTGAGGGCAGGGTAGAGCGTGGGAATCCAGGGTGGAGGGAAAGCAGGGGTCTGGTGCTAGGATTGCGGGGGGCGGGGGAGGGATGGGACGCAATGGCTGGAGGCAGAGTCGGCTGGGTTCTTGAATGGAGAAGACTGAGATGCCCATTCCAGGCCTTCCCCTGGGCAAAGGAATACACTATTTCCCTAGTCCTTACCTTGCAATTTTGTTAAAAAAAAAAAAAAAAAGAAACAAACAAAAAACAAAAACAACAAACAACAAACCCACAAAACAAAAAAAACTACATCTCCCAGAAGTCAACGGGCGTGCAATCCTTTTACAGCCCTGGCCTTGCCCAGTAGCCTCATGGGTAGTGTAGTTTTTGACACTAGCTGAGCCAATGAGACCTT